GGGAGCGTGGGGTGGGAGGAGGTCCCGGTCTCCCTGTGGGGTTCTGCCTTCAGGTGGGGGCGTCTGGCTGGCACCTGGCCCAGGAGGGAAGGGCAAGGGTGGCCGTGGAGTGTGACCGAGCCAGGGTCCCCGCGGTGGAAACGTGACAACCCTGCTCTCGGCTTTCTGGGTCCTGAGAACCAGCCTCAGGCAGACACAAGCAGCAGCCTGCGAGGGGAGCCCCGGGGCCCTGGGCAGCAGAGAGCGGGAGGCTTCAGGGGAACCGGTCCTGGCGGGGCTCACGGTGGCCCCTGGGCAGGTCTCCGCCCCCTTGAAACCTTGATTTCCCGTTGGTGAGAGGAAGGGCTAGGACAGGGTGCTTGCTAAAGCCCTGTCCATCGGGGACGGTCCCGGGGACTGGAGGCCCACTCACCTCTTCCCCTGTCAGGTAGAAGGCCGAGAGCAGCCCCCCGATGTAGCGGATGTTCACCTCGAACAAGGACGCCTCCCCCGTCTGCAGGACACAAAGCAGGACACAGTGAGTAGGGACCCCGAGGCCTCACTGAAGCTCCCGCTGCACCCCCAACCTGGGCCTGGCTCCAGGGCACCCCCAGGGGGCCAGACCAGGCCCAGGTTTCATAGCAAAAGTCGGTGGGGCTTAGCACCTGCCTGGGTTTGCCACTGAACCTTTAACAGCATTCCCAATAAACACTGGGCTTGGCTTCTGTCCCCAACCCTTGCCAGAGGCCACAGAGTTATGCCTGGCTGCGCTCCACGGAGCTGGAGGAGCTGGCTGCGGAGCTCGAGGAAGCTCAGCCCGAGGGGAGGCAAATCCTCTCCTAGTCGGGGCCTCTCCTCCCTTCTCTGGAGGCAGACCCTGGGGTAGCGGGAGAAGGGACAGGGTCTTCCTGGGGCGACCGGCAGGGCCAGGGCTGAGTGGGAGGTGCCTGGCAGAGGTGTGGCCTGCAGTTTCTCAGACCTTGGCTCCTGAGAGGGGGGACACACCCACGCCTGTCTCCATCACGACGGGACTGCGCATCAGGGGTCCGGAGACTCCACGCCAAGGACCAGGTCTGGGCTAACATCCCACCTCACACAGCTGGGGGACAATCCCCTGCCCCTGCCCCGGTCTCCTCATCTGCAGAACAGGCTGCCGCGCCTCCCAGAGAGGGTGGCTGGGAGACTCGGTGCCGCGGGCGAGTGTGCCCACAGCAGGGCATGGCCCTCAGAGCGGAGCCTGCGGCCACCTCCCTTGTCCCCAGGGCTCTGGGAGGCAGCTGTCTGCACCAGTCACCGGTGGCCACGAGCGCGGGCCAGGCCAGCTCTCTTCAGCCTCCGTGTTGCGTGAGGTCAGATGAGAAAGCCACCCTTCAAAGAGGTGACCTGCCTGGCCTTCTTCTGGGGCACTCCCAGCCTGCCTGAGTGGCCCAGGACCCTCAGCTCCCTGGGCAGCTTTCCAGATGTCCCTACGTCACTCCAGTCCCCAGAGGAGGGAGCGGGAGGAGTCTAGCCTTCCTGGCCTCACACGAGCCCCAGGAGTGGCCCCCAGCATTAAGATGACCAGGGAATGGCGATGACCCGGAGGGGGTGGCTTCACACCTGAGCAGGACGTCGCAGTACCAGGAGACGCCTTCTACAAGCTCAAGACAGAGCCCCACACCACCACGGCTGCGGCCTCGCCTTCCCTCTCCCAGGGAGAGCAGCTGGGCCCGGGAGCCTGTGCTCGGCCGCCTCCTGGCTGCATGGCTCTGGACCCCCCAGGTCCCCCCCACCCGGCCTGTGCTAGCCAGCTGGCCCCTCCCGAGGCAGAGCGCGCTGTTGGGCTAACTCCTGCTCCCCTTCCATCTGCCTCTCACTCCCCAGGTTCCGGCACGTGGCCTCCGCCGCTGGGAGCGGAGACCCCTGGGACACGGCCGCTGCTTCGTCTGGGCTGGGAGATCTAGGGCCAGGCCTGGCCTTCAGGGCTCTCGTGCCGTCTGGGCACAGGGCTGTCCTCCCCGTGAGGCTTTTGGCCGTGGCCAGGGGAGCCCGTGAGAATGGGAACCACGAGGGTCCTGGGCCTGGCTGCCCCGCCACCCCCATCCAGGGAGCTGGCCATGTGCCCTCCATAAGGCCACGTCTGCCTTGCTGCCCCGAGTGACAGATTCAGCCCCCGAACAGCCTGGGCAGAAGCAACACTCCCCAGAGGAGTAAGGGCCCATCTGGTGGGGAGGAGGGGGATGGCCACAGCATCTTACCTCCCAGGAGAGGATGCCAGACCCGGGAGATGTCCCCACCTCAAGGCTGGACTCAGCATGGAGTCCTCTACAGTCCTGACTCTGGGACTGTTCTGCTGGGCAGCCTTGGGCAAGGCCCTTGACATCTCTGGGTCAGAGACTCAGGGTGGAACTGGTGGCTGATGTGCAGGGCCCCTTTGGTCCGAATACCGAGGGCCTCGACTCACCACGTTCAGGTGGAAGTAGTTTTCCACCCAGGCCTTGGCCTCCTGGAACTCCTCCTTCAACTCCATGAGGTAGAGGGTGTCGAGGGAGTCGATGATGGTCGCCCCGTTGAGGCCGCCTGCGGGCAGAATCCAAGGTGTGAACGGGGTCGCTCTCGTCCTTTCTACCCGCAACCAGACCAGCCACGGTCCCAGCGCTCCTTAATGCCCGGGCAGGCTCCAAGGCATGACCCAGGGGGACCTCCAGTGTCCCCAGCAGAGGCGAGGCTGGGGGACCAGGCGCCAGGCCGAGCCAGACCTCGGTCCACTCCTCTGTGGGTCAGCAAGTCACCTCGGGGCCGGTCGGGCACAGCTCTGCTCTGCTGAGCGCGGCAGACACAGACCGTGAGGAGCGTGTCTGACCCGGGACCTCATTCCACTGCCTGCTTAGTCCTGGAGGAAGGAGGAGGGTGCAGACGCTAACGGGGTGCTGCAGGGCTGCACGTGGGGGGCTCCAGGTCCTGCAGCGGAGGGGTCACAAATGGTAACTTGAACCTACAGCGGGACACAAGGCAGCCACCGGCTCAGTGAAGTGGACTGTTCATTTCCTGGGAGAGAAGCCCTGGCATCTCTTAGGTAAGAAAGAAAGAAGAGCCGCAGTGTGACCTCTTTATTGTAAACCAAAGTGCAAGTGTGTGTGCACCATGCGGCCAGGCAGGGTGTGCCACGCGGCCAGGCAGGGTGTGCCCCGGGGCATACCTGAGTACCCGAGTGCTGGGCTTGCGGGTGTTTATTTCTTTAGTTCATGGCTTATTTGTTATTATTATTGTTGTTGTTGTTGTTGTTGGTACCAGGGACTGGACCCGAAGGTGCTCAACCACTGAGCCGCATCCCCAGCCCTTTTTCACTTTTTTACTTGGACACAGAGTCTCACTAGGGTGCTTACAGCCTCGCTAAATGACTGAGGCTGGATCTGAACCTGTGATCCTCTTGCCTCAGCCTCCTGTGTCGCTGGGATTAGAGGCGTGCGCCACTGTGCCTGGCCTCGCAGGTTATTTTTAAAGGCATAAACTCATTTCCATTTTTTTTTTTTTAAAAAGGAAGTTGGGCAAAGACTTCGATCAAAGGCATAAAACAAAAACCTCATGGTCACTCTCGCTGTGGGAGGCTACGCAGCTGTCCCTGCGCTGGGTGAGACTCTCCTGGAGTAAAGGTTGAGACAGCCGCGAAGTTTTCCATGCTGTGAAGGAGGCAGGAGGGCAGGGAGGGGGACCTGCCACACCCAGAGGCTGGGGAGCGGAGGAGGCAGGGAGGCCGGGAGGGAGGAAGCCGGCCTGGTGCCCTCTGGGGGTCGCCTAAGAGGTGGCTGCCTCCCATTCACAGCTGACAGCCAGAGCCACTGCAGGCGGCAGGAATTTCCTTTGGGGACCAGAGTACAGTTGTCCCCTGGTTTCCTTGTGGGGACTGGTTCCCAAACTCCCCTTGGATATCAAAATCTGCGAATGCTCAGGCCCCTTTTATAAAATGGCAAAATAGATACAACGTATGATATTTGCCTATGACCTGCCCACCTCCCGCACACTGAGATCACCTCTAGGCATCGTGTAAATGCGTGGTACCAGTCCGTTCACGACAGATGTCGGTTTTTCCCCAGTTTCACCTGCAGTTGGTTGAATCCCTGGATATACAACCTGGGACACAGCGGCCTGAGAGCAGTGACCGTCCCCACAGCGACCTCCTTGCAGAGGCCGAAAGCACTGAGTCACAGGCTCTGCCCTCCTGGGACTGCAGAGCCGCTGGCCCGCTGGACTCCGGGCAGGCTTTGGGGGTCTCCGGGTTCGGCTGGCACCTGGCTCCCCGCCGGGCGCCTCCCTAACTGGCCACTTGTGTGGACTCTGCAGACAAGGAATCCTGAAACCCGGCCGCCGCCAGGCAAGCGCTGACCGTGGGCATGGCCTGGAGAGACCCTGAGAGAGGAGGCTGGGAGGAAGCAGAGGTCGAGGTGAGAGAATGCATCCCCGGACGGGGGGCTGACCCTGGCAGGAGGGGACCCCGGGAGGGTGGGTGACGGGGCGCAGTCATGGCTGTCCTCTCAACTGGCTTAGGTATCAGGTGGAAGTGAACTTCTAGAAGGTCAGCCGCCCCCACCTCCAGATCGGGCAGGAAACCCCCCAAAGCCAGACAAGGGCGCCTTTCCTGCTTTGTCCTGGCCGCCTCCCCCACAAGTGTCAGGGACCCACGAGGTCCCGGGAAGGACTACCCTCTGGAGGGGCTCAGGACAGGGAGCTGGGGGACAAAGCAAGGCTGCGGCAAGCTCCTGGCCCCAGCCTGCCACACCCCAGCTGTACAGCAAGGGTCCCCTTCTACCCCGCCGGGCTGCGGAGCTGAGGGTTTAAGGGCCTGGAGGGACTCTGAGCTCCTGCTATGTCACCCCTTCACCTTACAGCTGAGGCCCCCACGGAGGGAAGGGGATGCATCCAAAATGAGGCTGAAGGAGGCCCGGCCCAGGCCCAGCCCGTGCAGGCTCCCTGGCGCACCCGTGGCCTC